TTCCATCCAGAACCTCTTCAAAGAGTTCATACCACATCTTCGCCCAAGAGGTCCCTCAGGTCTGTCAGCTATTGGGGTAATTTCTCAAATGTTTTCAATCAGATCAAGAAAAACATTGGTTTGATTCAATGATGCGATGATATCTATTGTAGTAGTTTAGGATCCATCTGCTTGATTGTTTTTTTTTTTTAAGATTTTATTTATTCATGAGAGGGAGAGGGAGAGAGAGAGAGAGAGAGAGAGAGAGAGAGAGAGAGGCAGAGACACAGGCAGAGCGAGAAGCAGGCTCCCCACAAGGAGCCCAATGTTGGACTCAATCCTGGAGTCCAGGATCACACCCTGAGCCAAAGGCAGACACTCAATGGCTGAGCCAGCTAGGAATCCCTGCCTGATTGTTCAATGCAGATATTTCTACTCCAGTTTCTAATAACACATAATCAAAACTATGGAAGTGTCTCAAGATAACCAGACAGGAGGTGGAGTACTGGTCTCTCCATTCTTGTTTCACGTAAACTTTTTTCTGGGGGTTCTTTTATGCTTTAACTTAGAATATTGAAGCTCTCATCAGAAACCTTCACCAGCTGTTAACTCATTTGCTTCTTCTCCAACTGTGATTTATTTTCTTTTCACTTAGTTCTGAGATGTTTTTTTTTCTTCCTTTGAGTGAGTTTGGAAAGGGAGGGTAGGGCATAGAAGCGATTAGCCAGACAAATATCCCTCTAGCCCTAAATTTTATGACATGATTTTGGTTTTTGGAATCTCAAAAGTCAATAACCTTTCTTTTGCATGTTTATTCTGATGATTTGTCTATGGCCTCTCTTCCTCAAGGCGTGAAGCTTACTGTCCAGTTTGAATGAGGGGATGAGCTTGGGTGCGGATAGGTGCTGGTGTAGCAACAAAGCATTTGCTCGAGAGAAAAATACCTGTAGTTTTATCCTTTATTCTATTCTATTAGTCTGTTAGTGTATCTTTGTGCAAATACTATCTGTCTTAATTTCTTTAGCTGTATGATGGGTATTGATATCTGGTAGTGTTAAGCCTTCCAGTTTATTCTTTAAGAATATTGGCTGTTCTTGGTCCTTTCTGTTTCCATTTCCATTTTAGATCCAGTTCATTAATTTCCTCAAAAAAAAAAACCTGCTAGGATTTTTATTGGGATTACCTTGACTCTATAGATAAATTTGGAGCAAATTAAAAATATTGATTTTTAAAAATATTGAGTCTTCCTTCCATTAACATTATTTATACTTCAATTTATCTAAATCTTCTTTAATTTCCCTTAGCAATACTTTTTAAAGCTCTATGCTCAATGTTGGGGTTGTACTCATGACCCCAAGATCAAGAGTCACATACTTGACCAAGTGACCAACAGGTCCCCCTCTCTTAGCAATATTTTATAGTTTACCATGCAGAAAAATCATAAATATTACAATTGGTTTACTTCTAGGTACTTGATGTTTTCAATACTATTGTTTTAAAATATTTTATTTTCTCCCAGTTGATCCAGTACTGATATGTAATTCAATTGATTTTTTAAAAATTTTATTTATTTATTCATGAGAGACAGAGAGAGAGAGAGAGAGAGAGGCACAGACACAGGGAGAAACAGGCTCCATTCCATGCAGGGAGCCTGATGTGGGACTCGATCCCGGGTCTCCAGGACCACACCCAGGACTGAAGGTGGCGCTGAGCCACTGAGCCACCCAGGCTGCCCAATTCAATTGATTTTGATAGTGACCCAGTATTATGATTTTCTGACCTTGCTAAATTCAGTTATTCTAATAGCTTATTTGTAATGATTTCAGATTTCTACCTACACAATCACATGGTTAACAATTTTATTTTTTATTTTACTTTTCAATATGTTTTTTTTTTTTTTTTTTACTCTCTCTCCCTCTTTTCCCTTCACTGTCCTGTATAGGCCATCAAGTGCAATGTTGAAAAGAGGTGATGCAAGTGAACATCATTGCCTTAATTCCAGTATTAGGGGGAAAGATTTTATGTTTTACTATTAAGCTATTATGTTAGCAGTAAGTTTTTAGTAGATATCCTTATCAGGTTAGGAAAATTCTTGTCTATTCTAGTTTGCTGATAATTTATGTGCTGTTGATTGTCCTTTGCTTATTCTGTATCTATTGAGAGTATCGTGTTTTTCTATCATTTATTCTGTTATGTAGTGAATTACATTAATTTTCATATGTTAGACCAATGTCATGATGTGTTAGCCATTTTACATAGTCCAGATTATATTTGACAATATTTTTATTCAGTACTTTAGCATCTATGTTTGTGAGATTGATTGGCTTCTGAGAAGGAGAGAGTTAAGTAGCTAACCTCCAATTAATTTATCTCTTGGAAACATATTTGGGGGTGTTTCCTGGAAAGAAAGAAGGAAGATAATCCAGATAACCCAGGCTAATCTTCTTGTAAACATACTGATAACAGTGTTCATGTAAATAAAGCAGTATCAATTATTAGGAGGTGAGTCCTTATCTATGAGGTACTTTTAGCAGGAAGCCCACAATTCAGGATTGACTATGGTAAACAAAACCAAAGTCTATGAATTTATGGGGCATGGCCCCCAGGAAAATGTCACTCACATAACTTACATAATTATCTGGGTATAAAATAGAGAAGTGTCATGACCTAAAATGCCCCATGTTGTGTGAAGTGTATTCACTTAGAGACCGTACCTTTCCAGCTTAGTCAAATAGCTCATCTAATGCCAGAAGGAAGGATCTGGGAAAATGTAGACACTGTTCAAGACTTCTGCTTTACCTGTCCTTTTGATTGCTTATATTCTTGAGATTATTAGCAAAACTTTACAATGGATAAAATCTCTTATTCCTGAGTCTGAGTCTGATTTGACAATCTTGTCTTTTATGTTGTCTGACTCTAATATCCTTTTTTGTAATGTCAAGTTTTGGAATCAAAGTTATGCTTGTCTCATAAAACAAGTTAGAAGTGTTTTGTGTTTTCCTATTTAGTAGAAAAATTGTGTAAGGTTGGTATTTTTTTCTACTTAAATATTTGGAGGAACTTACCAATGCAGTCATATGGGCCTGAATAGTACTTTATGAAAAGTTATGGACTTCCCCTTGTGGTGCAATGTGGCACAAAAGCCCCTCTTTGGCAAGACAATAGATAGGTGCCCCTTCATGAGATGCTTCCATCTTCTCTCCCTGTGGTTAGGCAAAGGACTTTCTTATTGTGTTGCAGTCTGAGACTCTTACTATACCTTCTCCGGCTTCCTATTTTTTTTTTAATGATTTTTTTAATGTTTTTTTTTTAATTTTTATTTATTTATGATAGTCACAGAGAGAGAGAGAGAGAGGCAGAGACACAGGCAGAGGGAGAAGCAGGCTCCATGCACCGGGAGCCCGACGTGGGACTCGATCCCGGGTCTCCAGGATCGCGCCCTGGGCCAAAGGCAGGCGCCAAACCGCTGCGCCACCCAGGGATCCCTCCGGCTTCCTATTTTAATGGTCACAACCATTTCTCCGAATGAATCTCTTGTGAATCTAATCCTGTCTTTGCATGTGCTTCTTAGAGGACCAGAACTAACACATTTGGACTTTGTTCTAGCAGGTAGATACCTATGAGTCAGCTCCATACAACTACGGCTTATTTTTAAGATATGTTAGGAGGCAAGTCTAGAGTAGAAATTTTACTGTCAGGCTAGTTCAGTCCTGCTCACACGGTGTACTCTTCTTGGGGTCCTAGTGAATGTCTGGAGTTCTCAGTGAGGACAAGGCTGGTGGAAATTAAATGTTTCCCAATCTCATGCTGGTTTTGGGAATTAAGCTTAGTGTTCAGCAATGAACACAAAGGGATGTGTGTGCGGATTTCTGAAATTTCTTTCTCTGCACAACTTCCTCCTCGCTGGTACCGTGCCCTGAAAATTCAAGACATCTCAGTTTCGCTCAAGTCTCGTCTTTGCCTCCTTCACTCAGCAAGACTGCAACATGATCCAGACTGCTTAAACTCAGAAAACCAGGGCAACTGTAGGGTCACCTTACTCCTCCTCTATAGTGATCTGTCCTTTGCTGCCAATTGTCCAATGTCTGAAAAGCTACTTCACACATTTTTTTCCCTTAGCTTCCTGAACACTGACAGCCAATCTTTTTGTAAAATTTCTAATCTATGTACTTAGAGCTATATATTTCCCATAAGCATTTCTCACAGCTTCCGAGTTTTTATATATTGTACTTTCATTAGCATTCATTTAAAAATATTTTCTAGATTCCACTATGATTTATAGCTTGACTTGTGGCTCATTAGGAATATGATCCTTGAATTACAAGCACTTGGGACTTTTTTTTTATTTTTACATAACTGATTTCTGGTTTAATTCATACTCTATATGATTTCAACCTTTGTAAATTAGTTGAGATTTGATTTGTGATCAATCATATGGTTAGTTTTGGTGAATGTTCTGGGTGAACCTTAAAAGAATCTGTATCCTGAAATTTTTGGATGTACTATTTTATATTATGTCTTATTCATATGTATGGTGCCAGTACACAGGAAATAGTAGGAGCTCAACATATATAGAATTGAGTAACTCAAAAGTTTTATTTTATTTGGGCAATTCCAGACCAAATAAGAGAGGATGGTGATAACACTACAAGACGTAGGCAGAGGGACACCTGGGTAGCTCAGTAGTTGAGCATCTGCCTTCAGTCCAGGGTGTGATCCCAGGGTGCTGTGATTGAGTTCCGGAATCTGGTCCCACATCACATCAGGCTCCCCGTGGGAAGCCTGCTTCTCCCTTTGCCTCTCTCTCTGGGTCTCTCATGAATAAATAAATACAATCCTTAAAAAAAAGCCCCAAAAAAACAAAAAACAAGGTGTAGGCAGAGAGAAAACCATTTCTGGTAAGTTGGAGCCTAATTGAGGAACCTTAAGTTAAAGCATGACGTTTCCTCCCCATTCCAAACAGTGTTAATGCCAACGCTTTATGTGCTGGAAGTTATCCCAATATTTTTCCTTCCTGGTTTTCTACCAATTTTCCCTTAATTCGTTATAAGCTCTGTATCACTAGTGCTGTGTGACAGTAAAAAACAGTATTTTAGGAAAAGTTAATGATGTTGATCTATAAAGCTCAGAGACACAAGAAATGGTTATTTTTATTTCTCCACTTGCCCCCAGACAATTCATGATTGTTTTTGAGAGATTACATGAGAATATGTCTAATATCTCTATCCAAAGGTCCAATTTTTAAAGTAGAATCATTATTGAATCTTCCAAGTCAATTTTTATTCAACTCCGTTCTAATAGAACTATTATTAAATACATCTTCTAATACATTTAACCTTTGCTCTTACCCTTTTGCCAACCTTGTTCTGGACACTGAAATTTTTGCTTTAAGATTTTGTTTATTTAAGAGAGAGAGAGAGAGAAAGCATGAGTTGGGGGAGAAGAAAGAGAGCGACAAGCAGACTTGGTGCTGAGCGTGAAGCCCACACAGGGCTGGATCCCAGGACCCCAGGATCATGACCTGAGCCAAAGGCAGACACCCGACTGAGCCACACAGTGCTGGATGCTGGAATTTTGACTATAGAAAGGAGGATACAGATTTAGATGAGGCTACGAGCACCTTCTATAGGCTTGTAAGATACCTCTTGTGCACCGTCCTACATTCTCTAACCTCTGATTCCAGCCACAGCTCTGGTGAACTGTCTGGAGCAGGTTTTGCCCTGCTCTGTGTTGATAATGCCTCGCTTCAGGTATGCACCAGGAATGTAGCTTCCTGTCCTAAGGCTTCTCTGATGCAGCAGTGTGTGATGCTGTGGTACCGGCTCTCTAGTCTTTGCATCGCCATGGAGATGGAGCAGTTAACACCCCTTAGGAGCAGCCTTCAACAAGGATGAGATGCTGCTGAGAGATAAATCCTACTCCATTTCATTCTTTGGGAGTCGGTGGTTCTGAGACAAAGCTGAATAAGAATCCTGAGAAGGATCTGCACATGCTAAGTAATCTATTAACAGTGGCGGACTACTCCATAACACTACCTGTTTTGCTTGGATATTCTTTCCTTTTTCCCCTGTTCACTCCTTTCATTCCTGCTCCCTGGGATCACATTTTGAAATAGAATGTGCCTACCTTTGTCTCAGGCACTGCTTTCAAGAATAACCTAGATTAAGGGGCACCTGGGTGGCTCAGTCGGTTAAGCGTCTGACTTCTGACCTCGGCTCAGGTCATGATCTCAGGGTCAGGGGAGAGTCTGCTTTTTCCTCTCCCTCTCCAGTAAGTAAATAAAACCTTAAAAAACAACAACAAAAAAAAAACCAGGATTAGGACAATAGGTTAGGAGGATGTTGGTGGATTATATAATGCAGGAATATAATTTTCCTGGACTCTGCATATGCTACAAAGGAACATGCATTCAGTTGACAGCACAGTTTATGGTAATTTTGATGATTTTCCATCTCTTTTCTTTTTGAACATTCATCATCCATCCTGAAGCCTGAATGCCTAGAGAAAAAAAAAAAAAGTTGGGTTCAAATTAGCTTAAAATTGAATAGGCAAATTTTTTGTGACGCTAGCTCTAAGCAGTTTTTCTTTGTGAGGGGGCCCTCAGCAATTTGGTTGGATACTTCAATCTAATAAGGAGGAACCCTCAGTCTACTTAATCAGGTAAAGCTTTTTGTTGCTTTGGAAACAGTCATATCATATTTCTTATTCTCCTTGATTAAAAAGCTGGAGCTTTGACTGCTATAATTCCTTTTGCTAAGAAACTCAAGCATACCTTAAAAATGTAAATTACTGGAGCACTACCAGGCCTACTTATTCATGAAAACTGAAGGAATACCCTGAAAGATATAGGGAGTTATTAGGAACAAATTAAAGTTGCCTACATGTCAGCCCTGAGAAAAATGTTAACAATGGTAAGTTTTTACTCATTTAAGATATTAAAGACACTACAGAAAGCAAATGGTAAAATTTCCCTGCCCCCTCACAGGAAGTGGTTTTTCTAGTGGTGGGGAAAGTGAGACAATAGCAAATTCAATGATTAAAATACACAGCATTTCAAATAAAGGCTATCGATAAAAATAAACTAGGAAGGAAAGAAGGAGCAAGGTTTTTGTATTGTCTTGTTTAACCCACAGGTCTTGTTGAGGAAATAACAGTTGAACAAAGATCTGAGAATCAGTCGTATGGATATCTGAGGGAGGAGCATTTGGGGAGAGAAAGCTCTAGGATAGAAAGAGGTCTGTCTGGTTTGACATATGTGAGCATTAGAAGGTATGGTTCAAAAGGGCGAGGACAAAGGAGGCAGTGGCAGGTCACCTGAGAGAGGGGTCCTCAAGATATGCAGGGCTGTGTTATACACCGAGGGAGATTGTGAAAAACTAAGGCCATTTTGATGTTACTATGATTGGGGTGGTGGTACGGGCCTTTAGTAAATAGGCAACATTTAGAAAAGTAAGGCAGTTTCAACCAATAAGGTGGTTTTCCACATTTTGAGTGAGCTTCAAATGTCCTTCTGCTCATTCCTGTGGATTATGTTAACTTCTAAATTCCATTCATAGCAAGCTAAAATACTGGGATTAAGTCTCCACTGAAAACAAGTATGCATCCTAGGATAAATATATTTGAACAAATTCAGACATCTTTTGCTAATATTTTCTTTAAAAATATTTTTCTGGGGATTCCTGAGTGGCTCAGAGGTTGGGCGCCTGCCTTTGGCCCAGGGTATGATCCTGGAGTCCTGGGATCGAGTCCCACATTGGACTCCTTGCATGGAGCCTGCCTCTCCCTGCCTGTGTCTCTGCCTCTCTCTTTCTCTCTCTGTGTCTTTCATGAATAAATAAGTAAAATCTTTTAAATAAATAAATAAATTTTTCTGCCTCATACTCTCTTTTCCTTGCTTTTTGAAGAGTTCAAGTTCAAGTCTGTTAGACCACTTGCTACTATTCCATCAGCTCATTGATGCTTTGCTTATTTAAAAACATCTTTTTCTCAGTATTGATTTCTAGTGACCTGTCTTCAAGTTTAATGATCCTTTCATTGTTGTGTCTGACCACTGATAAACCTACCAAATAATTTCAGGTATTGTATTTTTCAGTTCTAGGATTTTTTTTTTTTTTAAATATTATCTGTATCTCTCTTGAAATTTCCTATCTCTTCATCTAATTTATCTTCCCTTTACTAAGATTCTTTGATGCATTTGTCATGCTTGTTTTAAAGTCTTCCCTACTAATTCCAACATCTACACTGATTTGTCTTTCAACTGATTTATGACAAAGGCAGTGATCCAGAGCAGTGGGAAAAGGACGGTTTTTTGGACCGTGGTCAGTAGTATAACTATATTGAAATTAATTAATTAATTAATTAACCCTTACTTCATATCCTACTGCAAGATCCATTCTACATGGTGAGACCTAACTGCTCAATGAAAAACAGTATGTTTTTAGATATAACATGTAACATAGATGTAAATTCTTACATGTCACATAGGTGTTTTTAGCAGGATAGCAAAGGCATGAACCATAAAGGAAGACTGATAAATTCGACTTTAATAAAAATAAAACATTTACATTTATTAACATTTAACAATAGATAATTAAAATGCAAGTCACAGGATTAGGGAAAGGTGTTTTTTTGAGGCAGTATTTATAAAGGGAAATGGACTCACATTAGCATAAATAAGTCAACTAGAAAAAGACAAAAACCCAATAGAAAATAAAGGCTCAAAAGGTGCTTTACTAAACAAGGATATTCAAATGACTAATAATCACATGAAAAGATGTTCTTTTCTCATTAGTCATCAGAGAAGTGTAAACTGAAACCACACAACCACCAAATGTTGGTGAGGGTTTGGAGCAATGAAAACTCACTATACACTGCTGGTTGGGGTGTAAATTTAAAAGAGTTTGGCACTATCAACTATAAGTATAAGCATAACCTATTCCATTCTTAGGAATATATATATCCCAATAGAAATATGTATCTATGTGATATAATCTATCTATAGGTACATATAACATACAGATACGTATAATAATGTTCCCAGTAGTAGTATTTGTAATTACCCCAAACCTGGAAATAACATGAACATCCAGGATCAGTATAAATAAAGGACCAGACACAAAAGACTCCTTATTATCCGATCTCATTTTTATGAACTGTCCACAATAGGCAAACCTATAAAGACAGAAGGTAGGTTTGCGGTTACTTAGGGCTGGAGCTACAAGGGTGGTAGCTGATGAGTTTGGAGTTGTTTTGAGGTGATGAAAACGTTCTACAATTGTGATGATGATCTCTCTGTGAATATACTAAAGAACTACTGAATTGCACACTTTAAATAGATGAATTGTATGATATGCATTATATTCTCAATACTGTTACTTAAAAAATAATAGTTTAGAGAACAAAATGTGTTATATTCATATAATGGAATGCCAGACAGCATAAAATAACGTTAAGGAAAAAAAAAAAAACCTGTTACAAGCAATAATAACATGGATGAATTTCAATTATAAAATAAAGTGAAAGAACCAAATATAGAAAACTTAATGGATGATTCATTTCATTGAAATTCACGAACATACAAGACTAATCTATGTATTTGAGGATGAGGCAATGGTTATGTTTGGGGGAGAGGTTGCCTCTGACTGGGCAGGGCGATGAAGGGGGCTAGGGATGGTCTATCTCTTGATTTGCGTGGTGGTTCCAAGGATATCTGCTTTAGTCCTTGAAAGTTTATGAATTGCACATTTATAGTTTGCACACTTTTCTGTATTTTGGACTTTAACAAAAGTTTCTTAAGTCTATCACGAATAAATAAATAAAATCTTTAAAAAAAAGAAATGTCTCAAAAAATATATGTATTTCTAAAAATCCAGATCAGTTATTTGTCCTATTAGTATGTATTGGAACAGGGCCTAAAGAATACATAAACATGGGGGTCCCTGGGTGGCTCAGCGGTTTAGCGCCGCCTTCAGCCCAGGGCATGATCCTGGGGTCCGGGATGGAGTCCCACGTCGGGCTCCCTGCATGGGGCCTGCTTCTCCCTCTGCCTGTGTCTCTGCCTCTCTCATAAATAAATAAATAAATAATATCTTAAAAAAAAGAATACATAAACATAATAGTCTCTCTTTTTTTTTTGTCAGTTGGATTATGGAGGATTTTTATTTTGTTCTATATATTTTTCAGTATTTTCCCAATTACCATAGTGGACATACATACATTTATCGCTAGAAAAAAAGAATGCTATAAAAACACGATTGATGGTCTGACTTACTGTCTCATTTTATTGTAATTCATTCACGACGCAGGAACTTTGCCCTTTTATTCCTAGATAGGAAATCATGTGGCACCCTCGAGCAGGGGTGGACTGCGGGTCTGGGGGCTTTCTTGGTGGCCCTGCTGCCTGCAGGAGCTCACCGGGGGCCGCCCGCTGGGGAGCAGCAGCAGAGCTGCAGGGTAGGGGCCCAGGGGGGTGCAGAGCTGGTCTGGGCACTGGGGGAGCCCAGGCAGCGGGCGGGTGATGGCCCTCGAGGAGTCGAAGTCCTTCCTTGCTGCAACGCTGCGCTGGGCCCGGGCGCGGGCGCGGGCGCGGGCGCGGGCCCGGGCTGGCAAAGCGGCTCTAGCCTCGCGCCCGGGCAAGTGCCGTCCAGCCCATCCTAACCGCGCCCGCGCCTGTTTCTGCAAGGCCAGCAGCGAAGAACGTGTGTTGGTTTTTACATTTTGGAGAGGCCGTCGACACAGAGACAAATCCGCGACAGCGGCCGTTCGCGCTCTGCGAATCCTGCAAACGCCAAGTCCCGGGCGCGGTTTCCAGGGAGGCCGGCTCGCCGGGGCGGGCGCGGGGCGCGGGGCGCGGGGGTCACGGGGCGCGGGCGGGGAGGCGGGCAGCGGCGCCCGCGGGTCACGGGGTCGGGCCCCGCGCCCCGGCCGGGAGGGCACGCGCTCCGCACCGCATCGACTCACCTCGCACATCCCCATCCCCGGCTCCGCAGGCCCGAGGCCAGGCGGCCTCAGCAGGGGCAGCGGGGCTCCGCGCAGCCGCCCCCGACCCGAGCCTCTCCTCCCGCCGCCGGCCCGAACTGGCGGAGCGGCGCTGCGGGCACGGCGAGCTGCCGGCGCCTGCGCAGTGGCGGCCGGCCGGCGGGGCTCACGGCGCAGGCGCGGCCCGAGGAGGGGGCGGCGGCCCGAGGGAGGAGCGCGGCGGCGGCGGAAGGACGCGGGGTGCGGGGTCGGCGGCGCGGGCGGAGCCTCGGCGAGCGTGGTCCCCCTGCCCTCCCCCGTCTCCGGCGCTTGCACCTGCTCGCGGGACGGTTTCATTGGTTCCAGCCCGCTGCTCCCTAACCCCAGGATCGAGGGCTTGTCCCGCCCCCGGCTCCTCCGCGGCGCTCTTGACGTTTTAGGCATGATGATGGGGGGCGGGGGCTGCCTTCCTCTGCACCCGGCTGCGGAGCGTGCTTGGCCTCGACGCCCTGGATGCCGGCGGCAGCAGCACCCCCGCCGCCCCCGTGACCACCAAGCACGTTTCTAGACGCTGCCGAACACTTGCGGAATCCCTCCTACCGAGGACTGCTGTCCCGCGGGCTGCAACCGGGGGCTTGAGACGACGAGTGGGGAGCCCGCGTGCCCCGAGCCCCCCATGCCCCGAGCCCCCGTGCCCCGAGCCCCCGTGCCCCGAGCCCCCGTGCACCGAGCCCCCGTGCACCGAGCCCCGAGCCCCCGTGCACCGAGCCCCCGTGCCCCGAGCCCGCGTGCCCCGAGCCCCCCATGCCCCGAGCCCCCGTGCCCCGAGCCCGCGTGCCCCGAGCCCGCGTGCCCCGAGCCCCCGTGCACCGAGCCCGCGTGCCCCGAGCCCCCCATGCCCCGAGCCCCCGTGCACCGAGCCCGCATGCCCCGAGCCCCCGTGCCCCGAGGCCGCGTGCCCCGAGCCCCCCATGCCCCGAGCCCCCGTGCCCCGAGCCCGCGTGCCCCGAGCCCCCGTGCACCGAGGCCCCGTGCCCCGAGCCCGCGTGCCCCGAGCCCCCCATGCCCCGAGCCCCCGTGCACCGAGCCCGCGTGCCCCGAGCCCCCCATGCCCCGAGCCCCCGTGCCCCGAGCCCGCGTGCCCCGAGCCCCGTGCACCGAGCCCGCGTGCCCCGAGCCCCCCATGCCCCGAGCCCCCGTGCACCGAGCCCCCAGGCACCCCCATTCTTAAGACCCAGCGTATGCCTCGTATTCTTCCGTCGTTGACCCCCCCCTCCCCTGCCAGAACCTTGCTTACCCTACTGCTGTTTGTAAAAGACAAATCGGGATTTAACAAGGCTCATGGGTCGCATGTAGTTATCAAGTCTCTTGAGATCTCTTAAATTCAGAGCACTTCCCCAGCCTTTTTTATTTCTTTTGGCGTGGACTCTTGAAAAGTTCAGTCCAGTGGTTTACCAGAATATGCTTCAGTTTGGATACTCCCATTGGTTCTTCATCATGTGATTCATGTTGAATTTTATTTATTTATTTTGTATGCTTTGTTTGAATTCCACGTAGGTGATGTTATATTTATTTATTTTCAAAGTACCATTTAGCTTTTTAAGCAAGATTTTTAAAAAGGAATTTATTTATTCATGAGAGACACACAGAGAGAGAGACAGGCAGAGGGACCCCAAGGCGGGACTCGATCCCAGGTCTCCAGGATCATGCCTTGGGCTGAAGGTGGCGCTAAGCCGCTGAGCCACCGGGGCTGCCCACAAGATTTTTTTTTTTTTTTAATTATTTATTGACTCATGAGAGACACAGAGGCAGAGACACAGGCAGAGGGAGAAGGGTGCAGGACTCCATCCCAGGACCCCGGATCACACCCTGAGCCGAAGGCAGACCCTCAACCACTGAGCCACCCAGGTGCCCTGAAGATAATGATTTTTATATGTCATTTTACATCTTTCTACCCTATTGAATGTCCTGTAGCTTTTGGAATTTTCCATTGGTTCTATTAGAAACTCTGTTTTCATTTTTATATAATTGCAGTGATTATTCATTTTAAAGCTCAAATTGCCCATCTTTTGCCCTATGTTCATTTGACGACCACAAGTGTCTTGATAGCTTCCTTGCTTTCTGATGCTGTTGGATATTGGAACATTCACTGCTCTAGACCCAAATCAGCCGTTTCTCAAACAAGTCCTCATTACTTTCAGTGCAAATCATATTTGGTGACCACAATCCATGCATTTAAGGATGTTCATGGCTAAACGGCTTGTTATTTTTCAGACTTTACAATGCAAGATCTAGGCAATATGTAGTTTTTCAAAGAAAGATAAAAATAAATCATAAGTCTGTACCAATATTCCATTTCTAATGAAACATTATAGAATTTTTTACTTTGACTTTATCTTTCATCACTTTTCTGCTGAAACGTGTGGTACCTACTAATATTAACAAAATTACTTACTTTTTCCTATAAAATATAGTTTCGAAATAATGGTACCAATATTATAGCTTATTATAAAAGTGCTAAATGTGGTTTAATGGAACTAGGTTTAGTTTTTTCAGATTGTTTTCTAATCTAGGTTGTTTAATTGAAAATAAAATTAAGGGCAGCCCTGGTGGCTCAGCAGTTTAGCGCCACCTACAACTCAGGGTGTGATCCTGGGGTCCCGGGATCAAGTCCCACATCAGGCTCCCTGCATGGAGCCTGCGTCTCCCTCTGCCTGTGTCTCTGCTCCCTCCTCCCCCTGTGTCTCTCATGAATAAACAAATAAAATCTTAAAAAAAAAAGAAAATTAAATCCAAATTGGATAAAAACAAGACTTAAATATTTCTAACTTTTTGAGTGTGATGTCTCACTCATTTGTCTCATTTTTATTGATATTAAAATTTAAATTTATGAATTTTATTATGAACACTTTAAGCCTTATCTTGTAGACTCTGATGTCATGTTTTCATTATATTTTTCCTAGAAATTCTTGGTATCAGTTGGTATTTCCATTTAAGCCAAGCTATGTTTAATAGAAAAATAAATCAAGGTGAGAAGGCTTTCTTAATGTTTTGATAGTGATGGATTATTTTTTAATTTAAATTTTAGGTAGTGAACATGCAGTGCAATAATGATTTCTGGAGTAGAATTCAGTTATTCGTCACTTACATATAACACCCAGTGCTCATCATAAGTCCCCTCCTTAAACCCATCACTCATCTAGCCCGTCCTCCCGCACACCTCCCACCATCAACTTGCAGTTTGTTCTCTATTGTTAAGTCTCTTATGGTATGTTTTTTTACCCCCCTTTCCCATATGTTCATATGCTTTCTTAAATCCCACATAAGAGAGAGATCATATGGTGTTTGTCTTTCTATGACTGACTTATTTCACTTACCAAAATACATTCTAGCTCCAGCCACATTGTTGCAAATGGCAAGATTTCAATTTTGTTGATGACTGAGTAATATTTCATTATATATATATATATATGTATAAATACACCACATCTTCTTTATCCATTCATCAGTTGATAGACATTTGGGCTCTCTCCATAGTTTGGCTATTGTTGATAATGCTGCTATAAACATCTGTATTTTTGCACCCTTTGGGTAAATTGAATTTTTACTTTTGTGTCGTTGATACAGAATGTTATTTGTATTTTTCTTTAAGTAATTATTTTAGGTATACATGTGTCTATATGTAAAGAGTCAATTATTGTAAATGATTTTTTTGTACAATTTTTTTGTCTTGGACTAAGAAATGTACTAAAATTTGCTATTATTTATATATTTTTATTCTCTGAATCTCTTGTGGTTTCTGCTTTATGAAAGAAGCTACTGTATTATTTGCTGCATATCTTTCATAAATGTTTTATTTTCATTGTGAATCGTAGCCATTAGCATTGTCACGTGCTCTTTGTCTCAGTCATAATTTTTGGACTGAACACTACTTATTTGGACTTAAAAATCGCAATTCTTTCTTTTTATTTGCATTTTCTTGGTATACTTTTGCCCATCCTTTCTTCCGTTGGCATTTCTGAATTCTTTTGTTTTTATTTTGTAATTATTTTCTTTTATGCCTTTTAAGTGAAGCATAGGGTTGGGTTTTGCTTTGGAATCAACGAACATTTTTTGTCTTTCTAATAGCATGGGCAAGCCCTCTGCCGGTTGATGTGTTTGGTCTCAGCTATTTCATCTCATATTTTATTTATATATATAATATATAACATATTTGATGATGCTCAGTTCTGTTGAGGAAAATAAAGGAGGAGGGGTGAGGGCTATATTTCATTTTAAATAGATGGTCAGGGAAGGCCTTGTTCAGCAGGTGGCTTTTGCACAAACTCTTGAAGTAGGTGAAGGAATGAATCATTTGGACAAGGGAGGTAAAATTTACCCTGATGAGAGAGAACAGCTGGAGCCAAGGCCCCCAGGCGCAACATACTGGTATCTTTTCCAAGAACAGCAAAGAGGCTGATGAAGCTAGAGAGTGGAGTATGCAGGAGGACAGTAGGAGATAAGCCAGAGGGGGCAAATCAAAGAGGATCAGATAGGGCCCTGTCGGTCAGCGAGGTAACAGGACAACTCCTTCGAGAGGAATTTTGGTGCTAGATATTACAATCATATTACTGCTGCCACTCCACAGTCATAACTCAATAACTCTATAGGAATACATGAATAACTCTGGGTATTCCAACCTAGGTAGGAGAGGAAGCCAGGCATTTTTTTTAAATAAAGATTTTATTTATTTATTCATGAGAGACACACACAAAGAGAGGCAGAGACACAGGCAGAGGGAGAAGCAGGCTCCCCATAGGGAGCCCAATGAGGGACTTGATTCCAGGACCCCGTGATCACGCCCTGAGCCAAAGGCAGACGCTCAACCACTGAGCCACCCAGGTACCTGGAAGCCAGGCTTGTAGGAATTATATAATATATATATTATATATATATATATATATATACCCAGAATATAATTCCTATATAATTATATTTTGGATGTATATATTACAATAATTATGTATTATATGTATTATATGTATTATATACATCTCAATTTATGCACGAAAGTAGGTTCATTCCTGTTCCCCACTCAGCCAGGAATCTGCTTCTCCCTCTGCCCCTCCCCCACTGGTGTGGTTTGTTTTCTCTCTCTCTCAAAG